ACTGGACTTTTAAAAAGTCAGATTAATAGAACGTTTTGCTATTTTTAAAACCAATTGTGTTCCTGTAATATCTTAGAGACCTAGCGAAATGAACGATCACACGTACTTTTGGATGGTGAGGCCGAGTGGCCGCTGTCTGGGTACTGTGGTGGCTGACCCCTGCCCTCTGGCTGTGGAGAAGGACGTGCCCACCCCCGTCTGCCTCCTGACTCTTTGCCTCCACCTTATGAATGTGGAAAGGGTGACTTCCCCTCTCCGTCCCTTAGTCAAGGAAGGACAGAGAGGAAAAAAAAAAACCCTCTAAAAAGTCAGTACCTGACCTTAAATTGGAATCCATCCTTTATTATAGTATTGCTATTTATTTTGAATGTTTGCCAAGTGCCAGGGAAAAGTGCCAAGTACTTTCTATAGCGCAATAATGCAGCGAGTGAAGAAAGTCTCACCCCCACGGGAACTGACTCCAGGAGGTCACATATTTCTCCAAGGTATGAAGCTACTAAGTGGCCATACAAGGATTCACATCCACGTGTGGCTCCTAGATGTCATACTATCACATAGTGTGCAGACCACTTCTCTCCAGAATTCCACTGAGAGGGGAAAGGAAGACTTCCAGGGTACCTGGTATCTGCTTCCATTTTCTTATCCATTGTTAGGCCTGTTAGAGGCAGATCCGGGCACCGCAACTTACTTCTCCATAGTTACATCCATTTTTTTCAATCACCTACTGGAGGAGGCCCAATCAGGCATTCAATTCACCCTATAGGTCTTATTTCTCTCAAACACCAACAGGAGTGCTTCATTAAAGGAACCTCATTTATGATGGACTTCCGGCCTCCCAACAATGAATACATGCTACCAATCCATCTTACAACTCACTCCCTACACCCCGTTTCTCATAAGCTGTGGGGGCACCCCTGTCTATCGCAAAGGTCAACACATTTGCCAACACTGCAGTAACACCTGGCGGAAGCCAGTGGTTCACAAAGGAGCTCCTACTATGATTTTCCTTTCACCAGAGTCTCAGGAACTGCTGTAAATGTCAACAACCAACCAAGAGTGAATGTAGTTTTTTCTATTTCTGAAGACAGATGGAGGACATTGATCACTGGTTCCTGGGATCTTCAGACAGGACCCTGCCACACAAAACGTTGTAGGAGACCTGTGACCCTGTAGTTTTGATAACCATTTTGTAATTCACTGTGCAGACCGGAGCAATCTGGGCGGCAAACATCCTATTTATAGAATTTTGCGTAATATAAAGTCTTCCCAGCATTGCTCTCCAAAATGGCATTCTCTAAAGAGGAAAAAAAAAAAAAGTTCTTGAAGATTGTCACTGTAGAGTGTATCTGGGCAAATATTTTAGACATATCAGCTAATACTCAGAGAATTAAAATGATGAAGAGGCTCCCCCGCCAATGTTATGAAATAAAGGACATGTTTGGAATAAACATAGGGATCAACAAGGATAATCCACTTAAGAGGGACTGTTGGATCATTCTGATCTGGGGGTACCTTGCAAAATTTTACTTGTGGGCTCAGTTACAACGTACAATGGGAGAGTTCCTGTCTCCTCCTTCAATCAGCAACTGTTTACTTTTCCCTGGGACAGTCTTGTCAGGAAGGGAATAGCCGTTCCTATTCCAGACAGGTCAGTGGCAGCCTTTTGCTTAAACAAACTGTATTACACAATCTTTACAAACGTACAAGATGACCAGAGCATCAAGTACAAGGTATATAACAAAGCATACGGACAAGGCTGAGCTGATTACTCTGTCCCTGAGGACTTCCTTGTCTGGCCCCACAACCTCGTTTCCCCGTTGAAGACGGGAAAGGGCCGAGGGGAACCCAGATGATGCTAGAGCTGCCGCACCACTCAGGAAAGGAAGTACGCGTTACCGTTGAAGGGGGAGGTTGATTCTCACTCTCACAGAAAGACAGACTGTCAAAATCTGGTGGGGAAAGAGCACAATGACATATGCCACAACTTAACGACACTGGAGCTGAAAGTGAGGAACAGAAGACTCAGCAGAAGCAAACCAGCCAACGTGCACTGCAATGCAGCCATGGCAGCTCTAGAAGGTAACGTGGCCAGGTCGTGCGCTGTGGCCAAACAGGGCATTCGCCAACGGCCAGCTTTGCTCCCCTTACTAGGACAGACACCCTTTCTTTGACTCTTTTCCACGGCTGCAGCACCCTCTTTCCCTAAGGCGCTGGTGGGAGCTGTCACCTTCCCAGATAATGTCCAGCTGGCCCCAGTTGAAAGCTCACCAGCATCTTTAATTATTGGGCGGGACAGCCATTGGATACACGGCACATCTCTCTCCAGGACTTGCTCCACTGGAACTTGCCAGAGAAGAACTTTTATTTAATTCTGTGGGAGCACTTGAATTTATGCCCCATTAAAGTTCCCTTTTGAAAATTACAAGCTGAAGCCACATCTAACAATTATGACGTTCTTCAGATCCCACGCACATCCTAAAAATGGAAAATTCATTTCATGGTCATAGAACCAATAAAAAAATATGACTTCATTTGAAATGCCTAATTTTTTTTTTAAAAAAGCAAATTAAATGATTTCAGGTGTTTATAAAAAAATCTTTATGTTTACAGCATTCTGTAAACACTGGACACACTCTGAAAAGATTCTCTTACGTCATAAGAAATTACAGTTTAGACTGGAGGTCAAAATCTTTTCATTTCCTGTGAGATTTGGTTTTAGTTTCAAATTTAGCTCTAGTATTTTTCTTTTAGTACCAAGACTAACCTCTTGACTTAACTGGACCTCTTAATATTTAGTTTTCATTAGCCACAGAAAAAACACATGATACCAGTTTCCTACCTCTAAACTTGGTTACATAAATTACTCCGGGTGTGACCATCTTGGATGAGTCCATCGGTCAATCAACAAACATGCATCCCCAGTATACACCACGTAGGACCCAATTCAATAGGAAAAGCTCTTGTGGTCATGTTCCTATTGAAGACCCTAGCTATCAAGTAACATCAAATATACAGCTGAGTTAAGACATCTCTAAATTGCCTGGAGTATCTGCTTGGAGGTATGTCCCCTTCCTTTTTTTCTCTGACAAGAATACAAGGACCTGAGCACGACTTCTCCAAATATTCCAAACTCCTACTAAATACAAGGATCTCTCGGCTTATGCCTTGAGTCCTGGTAGATCTTGTAAAGAGCTGGAGAAAGTCCAGGCATGTAGCTTCTGGGGAATTCCTATGTTCTGGAACAAAGAGCCAGTCATCGGTGGACCCTCTCTCAGGAAAACTCTGCAGGAAGGAGGGCTCTCTATGGACAGCTAAGCACGGCGATTGGCACAAACTGCTGCCTGACACTCGGGCTGTCCGTGTCCTGGCTCCAGCCTTTCAGCTCCCACTGCCGTTCCTACATCCTGTCCAGCCCTATTCAGTGGCCCAACAGAACTCCTTGTTTTTCCTCATTTGTGCTTAAAGCCATCCAGGCTTCCACCCCCACCTGCTCCTACTGTTCTGTTTGGAATGCCCATCACCCTCACCTCTCTGCTCTTCCTACTCACGTACGTGCTCTGCGCTCACTGCAACAGGCGTCGTCTCCATGAAGGCGCCTCTCATTCGTCCCCCAACCAGAAGTTTCCCTTTCTCTTTGGAACTCCCACACACATGATCTCTCTCTCTCTCCCTCTCCTTTTATCACCATTTAGTTCATTTAATAGTCACCTCCTTTCATCTGTAACCTTCCCTAAAACTGAGAAGTATCAACACTAGGGTTGAGTCCAGGTTAAAATGGTTGCATTTCTAACATCTAGCCCAGCAACTCCAAGGTTTTGAAACTGAGTTCTGCACAGCCCCAGGGTTCAGGAGAGATGTCCAGAGATCACCTGGTCAGGGGCAGAGAGCAGGCAGGGGCATGCGGAAGGCCCCCTCCCTGCAACCTGTGCTTTAGTCAGATGGGTTTTAACTCTTCTGTATATTGGGATTCAGGTAAGGTTTCTTCCCCTCCACCCGCCCCCCCCCCCAAGGAAGGGTTCTTTTAGAGATAGAAAAAAGTAAACCACTATAATGGATATTGTCAAATAAATGAACAGAATGATACCTAATGCCTCTAGCACTTTCACTCTTCAGATGTAATGAAATTCAATGGTCAAAAATGAGCAGCAAAGGTTCAAATCCGCCGTCAATCAAAGAACATGGTCAAGATAGAGCCCTTTCTCCTGTTGTGTACTGAAGTGTACTGAAATTTTAACTTTATATTAAAATTAAATAGAAGCCTCATCAAGCCCTGAATGAGTTATGTTTAAGGTGTTAAAAAGAACCACCCCAGCTCCTGGTTCTGGGGTGTGTGTGTGTTCATACATGAGCACAGCCACCATGCGTTGATCTCAGTGTAACTTCAGGGATACAGGAGAGTTACACTTGATGCTGATGTTGCTTGATTCTCCTCTGCTCCCCTTCCTACCCTCACACAACTTTACTCCTTCAGTCGTTCCCAGGACTGCAAACGGCACTCATACCCACTCTTATCGCTCCAGCTAAAAATCTTGGCGTTCTGCTTCTTTCCTTCCCACTCACATCCACTTCAGCAGTAACTGCTATTGGGTCTACCCCTGAAACACGCTCTGCAGCAGCTACTGGGGCCCGGGGGGCATGGCCCCCTCATTCCTGTGCTGCTGCAATCGCCTCTTCATGGCCTCCAGCTTCCACTCTCTCCTCCCTGTGATCCGTTCTCTAGGTAGCAGCAAAAGTCACGTTCAAACCTCTCCTGCTAAAAACTGCCAAAGCGTTTCTCATCACATATAGAGTAAAACTCTGACTCCTGATTGGTCAAAATAATCTGGCTAGCATGTATACTTCACCTCAAACTAAACAGATTGGCTCATTCTAATAATAGTCAGCTGGGGAGTTTTCCTCTAAGAAAATAGATTGGAGGATGACTGAGGAGAGGGAAGAAGGGAAGGAGGGAGAGAGGGGAGGAATGGCACACCACTCACTCAAATCCAGAAAGGACTTACGGCTTCAGATTTGGGAGGCACTGGAGGTGGAGGTAGGGCAGTATCTGAAGACTTCATTGCTGCTCCCAGAGTCCCGGGGACAGGAAGAGGAGAAGTTGCACATTTGGACCGGGCAGAACCTAGAAACTGATCACACCTGCTCTTCTCACTCAGGGAGCGAGCAAGAGGCTGATGGCTGGGCTTGCCTTCCTCCAGCCATAGCTCTTCGTAGGGAAGTTCTGACTTCCCCGGGGCGCCTGCCGATTCTTCGCTGGTCTCAGGGAAAAGGTAGTCGCTCCCACTGTCACCAGAGTCCTGATAGGGCAGGATGTCATGAGGAAAGGGGGCCCACTCTCCCCCCAGGTCCCTGCAGCCGTGGAGGTTCACCTCGCTGTTGCCATGGAGATTGTTGCCATACACACACACTGAGAGCCGGTGGAAGGACTGGGTCAGCTCATCGCGGGCGTAGCTGAGGGAGTTGGGCACGTGGTTGTGGCCGGAGCACCGGCCCTTCTTGGGGCTCTTGCAGTCCTCGGTCCAGTCGGTTTTCACGTCGCGGACAGCCCGTGAATACTCGTCAATGTCAAACTGTTCTTGGCAGATCCCCAGCCAGTGATGGACCAGGGTTTCGGGCCATCCCTCCCCCTTCACCAGGTGTTCTGGGAGGCTGAACTTGGGGACGGTCAAGTGCAAAGGGAAGTGCATGGGGAGGATCTTGTTGTTCCGCAGCACACAGCAAACCACCACCGTCTTGGTCTGGATGTTGACGAACTTGTAGCGGTGCCCCTCGCGGATGAAGTGGAGGTCGTACGGGTTTCTGGGTGGAGGGCTTGGCACAGTCACATTCACAGGAAGCCTGGTTTTCTCCACTATGTTGCGGATGGTGTGTTCACCCTCCTGCATCTGAAGTTCCAGGGGACTCCGGGTGCTAAATCTGCCCTTGCACTGGAATGGAAGGCTGATGCTTTCATTGGTCCGGTGATTCATGCAGATGAGGCATGGCATTTTGCCCTTTCCCAGCTTGCTGATGGAATTGAGCTTCCCGATCTTTTTGAAGATCGTGTTGAGTCGTGACTTTTCCTTGAAAGTTTTTGCATAAAGGATCTCTGCCTGTCCCATTAGAGTGAGTTCATCCCCAGTACACAGGGTAATGTTGTAAACTTCAGTGTCCTCATGGCATTCACCTGAAGCAACCTAAAATACGATAAATCACATTTTAGCTTAGTGTCTTTCATCTATTTGTGCAGAGTCTTAAAGAACTTCCTATTCAGACACACACACACACACACACACACACACACACACGACACACAGAGAAAAATGCTGTGCTTTGTTGTAATATTAAATTTAGACATTCTGTTTCTTTCATAACATTTATGTGTTTAACAATAACCACTTTTTGTACAAGATATTAGACTTTCAGAAACATCTTTTTTCCCTGCAGATACACAGTAGTCTATCATCTAGATAATTATTAATACTTTGGGACATTAATGTTACCACTATTTCTTTTTCAGTTATAAGTAATGCTTTCATGAACACTCATGTAGAAAATTCCCTGTTTTTTATTATTTAAAAATTTACTAATTTTTTACTGTTTAAAATTTTACCAAATTTTGAAGATTTGGAATTGAGACAAAGAATTTAAAAGTGTTTTATTTCTCCATTTTCTTCTCTATTATTATACAAACTATTCATACTCATTGGAAGAAATATTAGAACATACAGATATAAAAATGAAAAAATTCTGTACTCTCTTACCACTAACGATAATCTGTCAGTGATTTTATACTAATAGAAAGAAAGAAAAAAAAGAAATGGGATCTAGCCTTCTATCTCAGAGATAAATATATATACACACAATTTTGTTAACTGAGTTTATAACTACAATCTATCTGTTGCCCCAGGTATATACTTCATCAATTGTAATACTGACCTAATGTATTCTGTTATATATGGATGTGCCTTAATTTATTTGACCAGTTCCTTACTGTTAGATGGGTTTTTCCAATGTTCAGCAATTACAAATAGTAGTGCAATGAACTTTTTTATAGCTCATTTCTTTAGGATAAGGTACCAGAAGTAGAAATGCATGGACAAAAGCTATGTATATATTTGTGTGTGTGTGTGTGTGTGTGTGTGTGTGTGTGTATATATATATATATATATAATGTGTGTGTGTGTGTATTATCCATTGTGTTTCACCACTGTTATATTTATTTTTATGTCTATCACTTTATGAAATTATATCTCCCTATACCCATGCTGAAGTTTACTTCATGTTTACCACTATGAAAGGTAATGCATGCATTCTGAATTTATTTGTTCTTGTTTTATTTTAAATATCTTTATTATTCAAAAAAATTAAGTCAAAAAGAACTTTTTAAAAACTTAAAATTGAACATAAATGGAAACAGATGAACCCAACTGTATTTCAAATCAATAAAATAACCACTTTGGGGACAGAGAAATAATCCAAGTAACTGGAATGCTGTCTTTGACCATATAATGCTGCAGGGGAAAAAAGGCCAATAAATATTATGCTCCTTCTTAGATTTGTTTTCATAGGGATGTAGGGGGAATGATTCTGAGTCAAATTTATGTGTACTGGAAGACTGAATGAACAGGTAAGTGTGTTGATGTTATGGATATTATAGTTTTCATTATAGAAGGAGAGACAGAAATATGGAATGGAGAAAGGCATGCAAGGGAAGAAAGAACTCCCTGGAGGTTGGATTGGAATTGGAGATATCAGTATTAACTTATAATTTTAAGAAGCTATTCACATACACACAAGTACACCTTAGTTTTTTCCTTTCCAAGCAACCAGAAGCTAAGACTTCTAGTATCCTAAACCCAGTACCCAAACCATCCCCCACTAAAAGGAACCAGAGCTCCTTGGAGAAATGAGTGATTTCAGGGGAAGGGCAGAAAAAGCACAAGATGAGCTTGGAACATTCTATTGTGCCAGAAAGTAAAGTGCTCATAAGATGATGAGAACAAGCCAAAAAGACACAGGAGCCAGCCAGAATGGGCTCCCACTGGCAAAATCTGGGACAATTTGAACATCAAAATAAATAACAACCATAATGAATTATTACAATCTGTTGACTAAAATAGGAATGTCTAAGTTCATGCTGATAGCCAAAAAGATGAACAAATGAAAAAAATGCATGAGGGAAAAGCTGACAAATATGTGCAGGACTGGGAAATCATAATAATTTTGTAACTTTATTATTTATTACTATTAAACTTTATGTTATTATAACTTTACTACTATAGTAAAGATTGGTTTATACATGAATCATCAATGGATACTCAATTTGTAGAAGTCTGATGAAGAGCAGGTCATGTGCATAGTCTTAACGTGTCTTCCCCCAGAATGCTTATTAACTGCAAGGGGGAAAAAATTAACTATATAGTGGAGAAATTGGACAATACCTGGACCACATGATCACATTTAATATCACCAAAGGCATACTGACGTTGCCTGCTTCTGAATGTGATTCCCTGAGAAGTTCATGACCTCACTTATATAACATTCCAGCTAAAACTGCACTACCAAAATCTAATCATGAGGAAATGTCAGATAAACCCAAACTGAGAAATAGTCTATAAAGTATCTAGAGTGTATTCTTAACAAAATGTTCATGCCATAAAAGACAAAGCTGAAGAACTGCTCCAGATTAAAGTGAAATAAAGAGAAATGAAAAGTAAATGCAATTACACTATTGGGACTGCTGGCAAATTTGGAATAGGAACTGTAAATAAAAGTATTATCACTGTTAATGTTCCTGAATGTTCTGTGCTTACATAAGGAAATAACCTTATTCTTAGGAACTATACACTGATATGTTAAGGGGTAAGAGCATAATGTATTCAATTAACTCTCAAATGATTCAGAAAAGGCTAAGTTATATTGGACATACGTATGTATATAAGTATGTGGGGGGGGGCTGGAAGATGATAAAATAAATGTGCCAAAATGGTAAAAATTGGTGCATCTGAATAAAGTGTTCCAGTGTTCTGAGAGTCCTCATATTACTCTTGCAACATTTCTTTAGAACTGTTTAATTTAGATTAACAGAACTAATTTAGATTAACAGAATCTAAAGAACTGTTTCTTTAGATTATTTAATAATTAAAAGGTTAAAAAAAAAAAGAAGTTTTAGCTATTTTTGCCTGCTTATTTTTCCAGATGAACTTTAGAATCATTTTATCTATAGTTGGCATTGATAATTTTATTTGAAGTGCATTAAATCTACATGGTATTTTGGCAAAAAGTGACATCGTTATAATAGCATTTCCAAATACGCACAAAGATAATTCTCATCATGTATTCAGATCTTTTATTTCCTTTATTAGCATTTAAGTTTGCCTTCATTATCAATCCTTGGATCTTGCTGTTGATTTGTAGTTGTTATGTTTTGTTGCTATTCTGTATGTGTAATATCTTGCTGTAATCGTTTCTGCAGTTGATTCTCTTGGGATTAGTAGGTGGTTGTATCTCACACACATGATGAAAATCTATCTTCATATTTTCAATTTTCATCCTTTTGCTCCCATAACAGAGTGGTAGTGGTAAGAGTGAGCATCTTTATGTTGTTTCAGATTTGTCTTTCAATATAAAACAGTGAGAAATTTGTTGGCTTGAGATAAATACTCATTGTCATATAAGTAGTGTGCCTTTCCTAATTTCTAAAAGTTTCTACACAGAAACTTTTAAGAATTTTAATCAAATGCTGTTTCTGTATCGAATAAGATGGTCATATATCTATTTTTAATGTTTTCGATGTACTGATTTTATATCATAGATTCTGAAATATTAAAATAACTCTAGATGCTTTAAAAAATCGATATGATCATGGTACACTTAAGACAATATTGCATGATTCTCTGATAGCATCTGATCTATGACTTATGTGTCATAGTCACAGGTGATACCAGTCTACAGTCTTATTATGCTACCTTTATCAGGTTTTGGCATCAGGCTAACATTGACCTTGAGATTAAACTCTTTATTTTATGCTAATAAAAAAGTGTCTGGGTAAAGGGACTGACAATATTCATACTGCTTACTGAGTAGCGACCATCAGCATATATTTAGAAAACTAGGAATAACAATCTTTGTAAATCATTTCTTATCTACTATTCTAGATCATCTCTGTAAAATTATAATCTCTGGAATAAGCAATTTGTCAATCACCATTAGTACTATAAAAAACAAACAGCTCTGTTGTTTCCAGAGTGAAGTGAATTTCTCTGTAGGAGTCCTTGGAAGTACATAATGGACAGAATACTATTCTTTTAACGGCAATTCATGCTGCTAAGGTTTAAAGTTCATTTTAGATGACTCAGATACCTGTTGATATTTTTTAACAAGACCTCAACTGCATTTACTTTTATTGTAAAAGTTATTAGAATTATCTCTCTCTTTTTTTTGAGACAGGGTCTTGCTAGATTGCCCAGGCTGGTCTTGAACTCACGGGATCCTCCCACCTCAGCCTCCTGAGTACCTGGGACTACAGATGTGTGCCAATGTGCCTGGTTTGTGTTTCCTTTTAGATTCAGTATTCACCTGGCCCTAACATAGATGCAGGCTTCTAAATAGGAGTAAGCCTAGGAATTTAAACAAAGAAATAAATTTTCAACTTTTTATTTGAAATACTTTCAGCTTTGCATAAAAGTTGCAAAGGTACTGTGGACAGTTCCTGTATACTATTCACCCAGCTTCTCCTGTTCCCATCTGACATGACCATGAACATTTATCCAAATAAGAAATTAACAATGGTGCAGGCCAGGCGCGGTGGCTCACGTCTGTAATCCTAGCACTCTGGGAGGCTGAGGCGGGTGGATTGCTCGAGGTCAGGAGTTCTAAACCATCCTGAGCAAGAGCAAGACCTGTCTCTACTAAAAATAGAAATTAATTGGCCAACTAATATATATAGAAAAAATCAGCCAGGCATGGTGGCGCATGCCTGTAGTCTCAGCTATTTGGTAGGCTGAGGCAGAAGGATCACTTGAGCCCAGGAGTTTGAGGTTGCTGTGAGCTAGGCTGACGCCACAGCACTTATTCTAGCCTGGACAACAAAGCAATACTGTTTCAAAAAAAAAAAAAAAATGGTTCAATACTATCACATAAACTATAAGCTTTATTAGGATTTCATCAGTTTTTTTTTCTCTCCACTAATGTT